CCCGTGGATTAGATTGAGAATGAAGGAGGCCTTCTGGCTCGCACAAGTACTATCGCAAGCTACAATATTTGGAAGGAAGCAGAAAGAATGGAAGGAACTTGTGAAATGTTTTTATGAAAATACGCCCAAACACTTCCTCCTTCATCTCCTCGCTACATACTCATCATTTTTCTTCTGTTTTAGAAGACACAGCAAAAAATGAAAGCAATACTTTTAGAAGCTGGAAGCAGGTGCAGTTTTTTTAGTAACTTTCACTATCGGATGCTATTTTAAGCTGTTTGTAGCAGCTGGTTGTTTTGTTACTTCTCATAGTTAGTATCTGCTCATAAATGTTGAGAAAAAAGCTCTCCAGATTGTGCAAGAGAGTCTCCAAGGAGTTAGGACATCCCTGTTCCTCTCTTGTGTTAAAAGTGGAGGAAGATGTGTACTCACTTCATATGTTTGTTAAAGATGGAGCTCACCAAATTTGAGGCAATAGAAAAAACAAAAAGCCAAGGAAGGGACACAAAAGCTTGCAGTCTAAAAACACAGAGAACTATAGTTGTTTTTGTTTAACCTAAATCCGTTGAAAAAATCTTGTTCAAGATGCTGATATTAACTGCATAGAGTAAGTATGTTTTTGTTGAGCTTGATATTTGTCCTTGATATTATTTATGACCTCAAAAGACTGTAGATTTCTTTTAGATTCTATCAGTAAAACAAGGTAGTTTTCTTTTGGTCATTTTATTTCCATTCAAGCATTGAAGCATACGAAAGTTGCCTTTTATCAGGCACTTGCACTAATTTGGTTGACAGCAACAGGCTAACTCAAAGCAAAGGATTGTATTCTGTTTGGTTTCAGTATGTCACATGCCTTTTTTTTTTTTTTTTTTCCTCCGTGTTAAGCATCCCAGTAGCACACTTTGCAGATTCATCTGCAACAACAGAGCAGTGGAATCTATATCAATGGTCTCGCATCATTTTAAGACCTAGGAGGGAAGCATAAGCTTAAATATAGTTGCAGGACTTGGAAGCTGGCCAAGATACAACCCTGCTCTGGCAGCCAGTCACCTATGCAATTAAGACATTAGCTACATTTCAGCAGTGCTTGTTAGTTCTAAACATAACTTTAACACTGATTTCCCCAGGGTAATTAGCCATGCACAGTCTGACTGAGATTAGACTTGTTTTTTCTGATGTCCAAGCAAATTTAAGCTCAGGTGTTTACTCTATGCTTTAGGACACAGTTGCAGAGAGAGAAGTTTATGTCGCCTTTTCAGTATTGTGAAGTAGGTCTGTAATTCAGTGACCCCTGTAAGCTTATGCGATCCCACACAGAGGAAGGGCTTCTGGCCCACCTATGTCAGCATTTCATTTTGGGCTTCCCCCTCACTCCACAAAGGATGTGCAACGCTTGAAGGGGCTAATAACCAAAGGGAGATCCCGCCCTGGTAAAATGTGTGATTTTCTTTTAGATGACATATGTGAGTGTAAGTGGTGCACTGGGTTCGGAAAGCTTGGGGATAAACTGGAAACTCTGAACAAAGGATTTACTTTGTACAGATATTTCTTTATCTCTGTCTTTGGTGGCTGATGCTTATCATAAAGATATTGTATTTCCAGATAAGTTAGTGAAATAAGTTATTGTAAGGAAAGAAAATGATTTCTCTTTCTAGAAAAATTTGGCTGTTAGTAAATGACTTTTGTTTGACTGAGATTCTAAACATGGCCATGAGGAAAACTTGGGGTACTTAATGTGATCTGTCGCAGAAATGATCACCTGGCACGTACAGTTGGTGTAAATGTCGGATAGTGTTTGTTTACATCTGAAAACATATCTGATTTAATTGTATATTACAGAGATAGATGGTATGCAGGCTGACTCTGCGCTTCCACTTTCATTGGATAAGTAAATTGAACACAATGACTGCCATGATTTATGAAAGTTGTAATAACTGTGTTTTTATACTTATTTGCGTTTTTCTTTTTTACTACCTTTGAGGGCATTTCTTAAAAGCTTTAGGAGGGAGCGTTTCGGGGGTGCTTCAGTGAGTCTTATGCAGTTCTCCTGAATGTGCAGAAAGTTATTACTCAGAGGGAAGAAAGATAGTGTATTCCTGAATTTATTGTGTGTAAATCACTTTGCTTTTGTCAGTGTATTTAGCAATATTGTGCACTTGTATAATGTTTCCTGAGTGTCTTGCAGTTTTTCTCACTAGTGGCTTTTCTGGCTTCTTGACAAGACAGTAAGTGAAGCAGAGTTGTAGAACAACTTCTCTAGACGTTCAAACACTTTTGAAGTATCCCTTCAAACCACCTGTTACAACACTAAAAACCAATTTAGCTCTAAACACTATAACCATTTAAGGGTTAAAGCAGAGAGCTTAATAAAGACTCTGTCTCCGGATATTATGGTGAGAGGTAGAGATCCAAACACAAAAAAATCCCAAGGACCATAATTAGAAGATACTTCAGGGAGCATAAAACGCTAAAAATATCTGTTATGTCAGTCAGGTAGCGAGCTGTGACCAGCTTTTCTGTTGCTAATCCTTTCCTTTCAGCCCCTGTACCCCTCAAAAGAAGAGTAGAACCACCAAAAGAAAAAAAAAAGGCTAAAAATGGCAGGTGCAGTCAAAAGTGGTCTCCCTGAAGGAAGAAATAAAAATATATAGATTGTTCCGAGCATCTATGGTTTAACAGCATATTCGAGAATACAATGAAGATGATGCATTAAAAAACTCCTTTTTAACCTTTCTCATTACATAAGAATAGAGAGTTATTCAATTAAATTAAAAAAAAAAAGGTAAAATTGATAACAGGAAGCATATTTTATGCATAATCACTGTTTGAAACTCTGTATGAGGATGTGTCAGTGATGGAAGAAAAGAGTAGAGGCCATACTTGGACCAAGATTTTAATAAAGGACACTTTCTGGTGTGGTGGCTTAGAGGACGTTTGCCAATACCATTGGCACCGAACTTCTGAGGCTGTGGAAGGACGAGGGAAAGCTTCTGGCCTGTGACGGATGAGGAGGATATGAGTTGGTGCTCAAACTGCCCTTTTCACAAGTAACGGAGAATTTGTTCTCTTTACAGTTACGTTTTTCTATTGATGCTGCTCAGCATGGTGAGCAAAAGCAGGGAGAAATTGGTGTAGAAAGAGTG